TTCTTTATGGTTCCTGAACTTCTTCACGAATCATTAGCAAAATGGATTTTGCATAAGGATGATGCTGAACTTTCAAAGAAGTGTGATCAAGTTGTAGAAATTTTTTTGTCAGAACCTCCAAACATTTTTCCCTTGTCGAAATCTTTCAACCTGACAATTATTCTTTAGCCAGCTCAATGATTATTTAGTTCAAATGTATAAGGAAATTCTGGCACTCATCATGTAATTACTTCTGGGAAAGGTACTAATATGTTAACTATAGAATCAAAAAGGGTCAATTGCAGGAGATTTATAAGATACTTCATTTATCTGATATGAGTTATTAAATTAATTAAGTTTCACGGAGTTCATCAATAAGATGATCGTAATTAAAGAAAACTAGGTTGGGAAAATACTTTGCGAGTTAGAGGTTTGAGGACTTATCAAAGCTTAACATGGATGAAATCAAGCGTAGTTGCGTCGTTAAAGCTGATGCCAATTTATTATGATTAATTATCCTAAATCAGTTTTATGCAGATCCTGCTTATTCGGTATTTACCGATTGGTTGCTGCATTAACCACAGGAATTCATAAAGTACATAAAATCTAAAATTAATTGAGAATTCCTGCATTAGAAAATTTAGAAAATGAAAGTTAAGGTAGTTGATATAAACGGTGATGGCGATGTGCTTAATCCATTTGGGATTGTACTGCAATAGATGCTGAAATCATAGCATTGGGATTTAAGTTTTACAAGTGAAAATACTCGAAATTCGAATGGTAATGTTAAAAATATATTTATATTTTTCCTTTATTTACATTATAATGTATTAATGTTGTTCTTTTACCATAGGTTAGATAACATCATTTTGCATGAACACATTATTATCAAAAAATTTGACTTTGTGATAAAAAATTTTACAATGTTAATTTGCTTATGATTTCATTTAGCGTGGTAGTAAGTTTCGAAATTCAATCTAATTGATTTATTGATTAATTTTCGGATAATGTTTAATTTCCTTATCATAATAGTCTTTAGAATCAGATTCCTTGTCATCAACTGGTTGGGTAGCTTCATTGGTATCATGAATTTGCTGACCGCGAAGCCCAAGAAAATTCCGATTTCTCCACGTGACTCAAATTACATGCTCTATTCAGTGAAGATATTGGCATTTTCGGAAATTGCTACTTGGATGGCTGAAAATGAAGACACAATAATCAATCCATCCACCTGGTAGAACATTTTTTTTTTTTTCATTTGTCTTGAAATTTATGTCAATTGCTATCTACTAGGAAACGGGAAACCGTTGTTAAGTCCGGAACGATCTTAACTAAAAAAAATTCACACTGGTATTTGCTTTATCTAGACTTTTGTGCAAATTACAAAGCCAATCAATTATTGAGCGGGCGGACGTCGGGACATCTTGTATCACCTTGCATAGTATTATATAATCCTTCACTTCGTTATGGACTAAATAATGCTAGCATTCTGATACCTCACTTCGAAACGCGTGACCGTACCGTTTTCAACATCTTGCACCCCAATACTAAAAATATTCACGTGTATGGAACAACAGATAGAGATCTGTTTTCTTATCCCGATTCTTATTTTGTTTCAGAATGGTTAATTGCTCGTTGTCAACAGACAAGAGAAGATTCTTTATGTGGTATTGGTAAAATTTAGTTATAGCTGGTAGATTGGCTGAGACCTGAGATAGAGAGGTAAATTATATTTACCTTTTTTTTATTTAAATGATTTCGTGAATTTTAAGCTTCTTTTATTTTATTTTATGGAATATTTCTAATTTGGATGCTTATTAGAATTATATCCTCAATCATTCTATCAAAGAAAATGAAAACAAGGAAAGAAAAAATTTTTATGACTGATTTATCATTTTCTCGTGACAGCACGGCATTTGAATAGTTTGTGTCTGTTTGGTAAATTAATAGTAATATTATTATTATATGTTGAGCAGCTTACTTTAAATAAAGTTTTTAAATAATATTAATTCAGATTCGACTAAAGATTATAAATCACATGATAATAACAATAATCAATCCCCCGATATGAAATTATCTAATAACGTTATCTTTATAAAGTTGCCGACACCTTTCGTATAAAGATAATCTTTGCAACGAGCCTCACAATAATACTTCAATATTTGAAGTTCCTTTTTTCCATTTTGCGATTAGTTGAACATAATAATTACAGAAGTTGTTATAAGTTCCGTAACACAATAACGCGTGATCAGCTGATGAGCCTGCAGTTTCTTTTTACAGAACGATCGGATGATCACTACTCGTCATTTTAAAAACTTTATTCAATTAAAAATATAATATCCATTTATGGAAACAAAAACGAAAAAAAAAACCAAAATCACAGGATTGTTATGCTAATAATATATTTAACAATAATAATAATAATGACAAGTGTTTCAAGTATAGTGGTACAATTTTTGTTGGTGTAATAAACAATTGGTGAAACCGTTTCAGTACTTGATTCTGATAATTAAACGTGCTCTCAAATTTTGAAACATTTAGTAATTTATGATTTGCTCGGAGCCGTTATTAAATGACTTGGCCAACATTAAAGTATATTACTATAATCACGTGCCCGATCTTTGTCGCGAACTAGTACCGACAACCCTTTTTTTAGCCGGCATTATTGAAATTATCCGCGTGACAAATAAGGTGACAAATAGAATATTTCCATTGAAAACAATTGGAATACATAGTAAAAATGAAAAAATCGGAGGGCGTTACGCGGCGTGACAAATTATATATGGTCACGTGGGTGAAAAAGTGTTGGAAGATCTTTGTCGTGTCAAATGTTCATGTTTTGGCTTGTTATCTCGGAAGAAAAAAAAAATATTCAAACTTTATTTAATCGTTAATTAACGATAAATTCTGCACGATAAAAATAGAAAACAAAAGGATTGATTGATAGGAAAAGTACAGCTTTTTTGTTGTTTGCCATTAGCCTTCCTTTTTTGTCGATTTAATAAAGTTAACCACAAAGACAAAGAATCTATTTATTTTAATTGTTATTGCAGTGATAAATTAGGTATAATAAATAGAAATAGATGGGAAGATTTCGGCTTTTTGTAACAATGATAGGCTTCGCGCCCGATAAACATTGATATAAAGTTCATACAAAATTATTCTTAATATGGAAAAGTTGAAATAATGTAAATATATTATCCCGATTAAAGTGATTATGTGAACACATGAGAATAATTTTAAGGGGAAACCCCTTATCATTCGATGTTTAAAGCATTTATTGTTTATGAGCGTACACATCCAAAGCTCCTTAATTAAAAATAGAGAAACAACGTAAAAGGTTCCTACCGGATGATAGTTGCCTAAACAATTAATCACAATAAGATAAATGGAACCTTACCCTGAGAACAATACATATGCAAGAAAAATTTTAATTCCAACCTTTTTAAACTTTAAATGAAATTACTTATCTGGTTAAACTTTGTATCCCATTTGATTTAACAACATAACGGTGACCTAAATGCAATTATCGCGTAGATTTTTCACATCACCAATTTATTGAACTTTATAAATACTGGTAATATATATGAAAGATGTGATGGAATGAGAAAATATACAATGTGATAACTTTTTGATCCAATTGATTGGCTGATTGGTATACGATAAAGCATGTAGTTTTGTGTAGCACTTCAATAATTAGAACTATTTCCATATCTAGCCTCAATGGGAATCGGAACCATCACATCACCCAATTTCATATCACTTTTTTTTTCTTCCAATAAACTTTAAATTGTGATGCACGCCGTCATTTTTATTATATGTATGCATTAATAATTTGATTCGTTGTTCAAAAAAAAAAAAATGCCAAGACAAACAAACAAAAAGAAGGAAAAGAGAAAGTTTGTTTAATCATATGACGGCCATCTTCGTTATAAATAAGACCGTGAAATTGACCTTGACCCGTTCTCTCCATCAATACGAACGAAGATAATTAAGAACTTTCAATCCCCCGACTCCTGATAGATGGAGGTTTCCTCTCATCATACAATAACCTTCCTTTTCCAACCCATTTAATATGGGAGTCCGAAATTACATATAAACCAACCCATTGAAGTCAGGAGGTCAAGAATTCTTATCCACTATCCAAACCCATCCAAAGAAGCAGACCACGATTTTTGGAGATAGAGTTTTAGGTAGATTATTTTTTTTCGCATAAAAATTTTAATATCGAAATCTTTTATTCATCGGTTATTGACACTGTTATATTTAGCACTATTGGACTTTCACATTGAGGTTGCTTAGAACCTATCTCGCAAGTTTGGATAGAATAAGGTAAATTACTTATCAATATTCACCAGCAAAGAACATTTGTATATTCGGATTTTCTTAACAAGAATTAAATCGTTTTTAGGGTACAATACGGGGGATCCAACTATTTACATTACACTTTTTTTTTTTTTTTTTAAAAAAAAATTTAATGCAAATTGATCGTAATTTTTTCTTTGAGAACTTTTATACGTCTTTTTCCTTATTAAGTATTTTTTTTTTTTGATGTGTACAGTATGTAATACTAAGAATTTAATTATAAACTCCAAAACTCAGTTAAAATATTATAAATAAGAACGAATACTCGAAACTTCAGTTTAAGATATTACTAAATAAGAATTAATAAACTCCCAAACTCATTTTAAGATTTAATCAATATCTCTTCATGATTTGTTTGCTTGTGTTTTGCATAGAGGCTCTGCTATGCTCTATCTATGATAAACCTTTATTTTCTTACAAAATGTGCCCTACTTGAACGATATTTACTATAAAGCTACGATCAATATGAATTGCCAAAAATTATATTCTTATCAGATATTTTTATCGGAAAAAAAGTATAACGTCGCCCTGTAAAATGTAGCCGGATTTAATATATTTGAGTCAGGCAAATAATCAAATATGTAACAAATAAAAATTTTACTTGGAACAAATTTGTCATATCCGCCCATTTTTTTCCATTTTTGGAAAGCTGTATTATGTCTAACCCAACTTTCCAAGTATGGGTGCGTCAATTTTATATGTCAAATGAGGTGCGTCGATTGAATTGCGCGGGAAAATGTTTATTATCAGTCACTGGACATGTTACGCTGGGGTGGGTAGATATACTAATTAAATCAAATAAATGTATGGACATATACACTCCCCTGAAGAAAGTATCCGGGCACGGCTTTTTGCGAATTGTAGCTTAATTATATTATGTTTTTAAA